GTCGCGGGTTGATCTCTCGAAACTTCAACCCGATTATTGCATGGTTGTACGAACTCTGTAACATGCTTCTCCCGTGTCGAAGGAAAGGAAAATACTAGTTAGTTCTTTTTCGATTGTGATTTTGATGACGTCTCGGGGTTTTTGCAAACTCATTTTGATTGATTGATATGTGGACTGACGGCCGTACCTCGATCGGGTGCCAGCCTCCCGTATCTCCCTCGCCAACGCGCCCCTTCCCTTACAACGAGGAAAGGACACGTGTTTGCGAGTGGGACGTAGAGAAGTTGTCGCACGGATTGGCGAACGATATTACTTCCCTCCTGAAAATCGTTGTTCTGGATTCGTGGATGCGGGCTTTGTCATTGTCAATACGCACTACCCGCCTTACTCAGTACTATTGCCATTTAACGAGCTGATCGTGATTCCGTGGACGGCAGTGGCGCCCCATTGGCCTCGAACCCTGTGCACGGAGTGCCAGCATTTTGATCGCTACAAATCAAAGGGCTTCCACTACCGGATATGGAGTGAAGACGAGCACAAGGAAAGAGCCACGCGGCTGAGACCCTCCACGTCAGACTCTGAACTATCCACCGAGCGACGTTGGGACTTGATACGGAAACGGGACACGCGGAGTGTACCGAAGCCCTTCCACTCTAAACGAAGATCCACAGCGCGGTGGGAAGTTCGACAATACTTTTTGGATTGAATTTGGATTTTTCTCTTTTCGCGCCGTGCCCGCGCGCGCATTCGGCGACGCACGAAAGCAACCGACTAACTTCATCGGGCCAACACGGGGGATTTCAGTTCTGTCTGTGTCCCCACACTCAATTTTCCAAACATCCTTGGCACACCCCATCTTGCTGTTTTCCTGGGCCCTCTTTCCGCACCCTTAGCACTCCGAAGGGGAGACAGCACAGGGCGTGAGGTTAGCGCGTCACAGGGCAGAGTTCAAATTTGGCATGGAACGGGGGCTCAAATTTGACTATAGCAGGGCAGAGTTCAAATTTGGCATGGAGCGGGGTTAATCCTTCCCTACAGGGAAAGCAATCAATGCCCCCCTTGCTCATGCTGCACTCTCTTGTTGTAAGGGAAACTGTCTCCGTGGGAGCTGCTCTTCCAGCCCTAATGGGAGGGCGAGCAGTGGCTGAGGCTCTTCCAGCCCTCATGGGACGGAGGCGTTAGTTTGCGTTGTATTCAGCTTCATAATGTGAGCCTTGGTTGCTTGTCACGGGGAGAGTGGGGGTGTTGCCTAGAGGAGGGTGGGGCGGGTCTCAGACGTGGTATGACCAGAAGGGACAAAGAAAGAAAAGGAAAAAAGACCTCTAGTCTGAGTACACCCTGCATCTCATGTACGAATTGTCAGAGTGAAAGCTGATGCCATTTCCAGCTGGATTCATTCACGAAACTACTCGCGTGAAGGCATACTCGCACCACGACTTTTGCTCCTAAGCTCTGGACATGATTGTGGTCCGATTCGGACCCAGATCGGGCCGCAATTTTTTCCACACACGTTTAGGAAAGTACTAGTGTGAGCATGCCCTGCCTCTCTCCTTCTTCTGGAAAATGGAAAAGTCATAGATGCCCCCACATCCAGGGAACTATTAGTGCGAGTCTGGCCTCCTTCTTGGGCAGGGCGCCTTGTCCTCCCCCGCCGAAACTTCATTTCCTCACCCTGGTCTCAGCCTGGTATGGACCTGGGACAATGGTACCCACGACTCCAAAAAATGGCCCCACGGGGCTGAGACCATTTTTTTCGGAGGCGGACTACACAACCTGCTCCATTTGGAGGCAAAGAAGTCTCAAGGCTTTCGGGGGGCGGCCCTTACAAAAAATTCGAGCTTGGAGCTTGTACCACCGTGCACCCACGAATAGTGGGAGTTTACAGAACAACAAAAGAATCAAGTACTACGTTATTCAGAACATCACAGAATGCTTGACTTGTTCATGCACACTCCACAAACTTCACAAAGTTCTCCGCCAATGCACCTGGCAGTGAGTAGAACTCCAGTTACAAAACAACTTTTCAGCCGAAGTTCACAGTCAATGAAAAAGCTTAGTAAATTTCCAATGCAAGGATCGTGGTAATCAATGTCACAATACAAAGCCAGGCTATTCAGTCTAAATGTTTTTTTTTTTTTTTTTTTTTCAATCCAAGGATTAAGATTTAACAACAAAAACCTGAGGCCGGGGTCCTCACAGTCTACCCGCGTGAACCAAGAAAAGCCAGAAATAAAATGCCTGGGAGCCTTACCCAGCTTTCGCTTTTTACGGGACCTTCCAGGACCCGACTGACCACCTGACTTCACAAATCCTACTGTTGATGCAAAAAGACCAAAATACTAAGCTTGCCATTCTTACTTCAGAATTCTACGAATACTAACACTACTTCCGAAGCGTGAACTTGGAAAAGAACCACTGAGGTCCAGGACAATCATATAGTACAAGCAATTACACTGTACACGTCATGACAGTCAGCTCAAAACGCTTTCGCTCTCTGTTGAAAAAACAACCGGCCTCAACGTCAGATTTGCTGTTTTTATTACTTCAAAGAACTTGTTGAAGTCACTATCCTGGCCACTACCAGTGTCCTGAGCAAGAAGCCAACATACCCCACGTCAGTGCAATCGCACCATCAGCGACCGGTCTTATCCTGCCGCCGCACGTCAGTGCAGTCGTAGCACCAGCGACCGGTCATATGCTGCCGCCGGCTGGTGTTAACATTAACATGACCGCACGTATCTTGGGAGTCCTCGCAAGCCATCGACAAGGGAGACCCGTGGAAGGCGTTTTTTCGATATCGCAAGGGGTAGTAGGAAACCTGTTGCACTCGCTTACGATGCCATTGCCCTTCGATCAAAGAAGGAAAGAGAACTTATGCGCCTCCCTTCAAAATAGGGAAGAGAAGTCGAAGCAATTCCAAGGCCGGCGAATTTTCACAAAATATTACATTGCGAAGCCAAAATGCCAAATTACGACTTAAACACGATTTACTGTATGTTTTACGACTTAAGCTGCGCAGGCTCTTCGAGGGCATTTCTTTCAACGCTGCAGTACAGATGATGAATTGCTGATGAGAAGTTGCTTGCTCCTTGTCCTGCCCTCCTCGATACATACATATGTTTTTTTTTTTTTTTTTGTCTTTATTAACTCAATCCAGGCAGTTATTGTAGTAGAAACAAGCGCGGACTCGTCCCACGTGCTTACCCTCACAGTCTACTTGCTTGCCCGGTGCACAACATGCTTAAGTTACCCTACTGCCAGCACTACCCAGCAACATGAAAGGGTGACCGACGGACCGTCCTCACATGCTTCGCCTACCGCGAGCACTACCCAGCTTAGCTTCACCCGACTCATCATTCATCATATTATATATAATCCCCGCACAGAACTTGAAGTCTTCAAGCAGATAGCAAGAGCGCGGGTAACAGCCCCTTTCCACACTTCGCAGCGAGATTTCCCGCCAAGTCTCCACCGCACTCACCGCACTTCATACCGAGATTTCCTTATGCTTTCCTTATCCAGCCCCTTTCCATATGTCCAAGCCCTTTTTTTTCTCTTTTTTTTCTGAACATAAAGCCCCACGTGTAGTTTCGTGGAGAGGCGTGGCGTCGTGCTCAATCGACCAATTACTAAACCTGCTCTGCTCATCCGACCCCCTTCCATCCTTCCAAGCCCTTTTCCCCCTCTCAATTTGAAGTCCCACCACGCCTCCTCGTTCGGGCTCCGTCTTTCACGAATAGTTTAGTGGAGAGGCGTGCCGTGCCGTCGTGATCAATCGACCAACTACGAAAGCTGCTCTGCTCATCCAACGCCCTTCCACCCGTCCAAGCCCTTTTTCCTTTTTACCCCTCTCAATTTAAAGCTGGTTCATCCACGCCTCCTCGTTCGAAGTCCGTCTTTCGCGAGTAGTTTCGTCGAGAGGCGTCGTGGCTCAATCGACCAAGTTGAACTCCTAAAGATGGTAATCTCTCAGGCCCATGATCGTTTGAGTCCTCCATCCTTGAAGCCATCGATCGAAATATTGTCGTATTGGAAGAGAGCAGAATGGCGACGGATGAAAAGACCTTGCGCCTCGGTGCATTAGGCCCTCACTCCACTATACTCTGGAACTGTGCAAAACGAGAGTGAATCTTTCCCTACAACATGGAAATATACACAGCCATGAAATTTTTTTTTGTCGTTTGTGCATGTCGAGAGAAGTGAGGCGAGGCCCTTGTCACTCACTATATGCACAAAAAATATGGGGGTGGCACAAAAAATATGGGGGTGTAACATTTCCTGGCATGTTCTGGCGGACGATTCATTCTTATTTTGGACATACGGTGAGTACCGGGGCCAAGTCCCACTTAGGCTGATTCTTTATTTCGGACCGTTTATCTTGCGAATCTACGGTCAGAAGTTGAGATTTCGGGTAAGTGGGACTGGGGTCCTGGAGCGAGGCGCGCTGTTGAGCTTGATTCTGTGAGGAAGGGCTTGAGAGGTGTAGAATAAATGGGAGCTTTACGTGGCTGAAAATACAGGAAAAAAAAATGGAAATAGAACATGAATACCGACCGATCGATTTTTCCTGTCTTTTTTTAATCACACAGCTAGAGAAAGCCCCCCTCCTCACCCGTCTTCTGCTTCAGAGGCAACATCCGTGCCCGCTTGCTCCAGTGACATCAGCATAAGCAGGGACCGCATAGCAAAACCACAAAAAAGAATAAACAGGACGTTTCTCGCTGAATCGGACGCACCACTGGACACGAGAAACATTTTAGAGGTCTCCCAAAAAAAAAAAAAGGGAAAAAATAAAATAAACATAGAGGAGTCGATGGGGACGTGAAAAAAAAAAAAAAAAAAAGGACGTCCTGAGAACGTCAAAAAAATATTTAAGACGTATTGACAACGTGAAAAAAATATTTAGGACCTATTGAGAACGTAAGAATTCTTTTTTTTTTAAGGACGTGAAATGTTTTATTGAGGACGCGAAAAATTTATTATTGAGCAAAGAATCGAACCGCCGGGAAAAACGTTTATTGAGAAGTCCGACCTAGAACGACTCTGAATCACTGAGCACAGACTTAACAGGCCTGCCACGTGGCGGCTTATTCAAATGAGAACTTGAGAAGTTTCATCTTCCCGCCGACCGCCGAAAAATTTTGAAGATCATCACCGCCACAATTGGAAAAAAAAAAAAAAAAAAAAAAAACCAGCTTGCCGACACTGCTGAGGCACCTGGCTGTGCCCATAACCTGCAGGTATGTTTTCTCCCACACAATGGCAATTGCGCCGCGGCGGTAATCAGCCCAGATGCGGAGCCTCTCCGTTCAACTTGCTCTGCCCCGTTAGCAGAGGTAGCAGTAGCTAAAAGCAACTCTGACATATGTTGCAGCCGTTTGTGAAATTTGAGAAACGCCTCCGATCATCTCGCTCAGTTCGCCGAAAATCCTGGTCGATGAGATATGATCGCTCGTTGTGACGAGTTAATTAGCGTCGAAGAGACTGCGGTCACGAGACCTAACATCGTTTAACTTGAAAAAAAAGAAAAAAAAAAAAAGAAAGAAAGAAAGAAAGAAAGAAGGGGAAGCTGTCAATCTACGTCCCGTTGTTCTTAGGGATACACTCACACTACGACTTTTCTTAGATGCATCTGACCGTAAGTAAGTATATCCAGATTATGTTGAAGAAGCTGAAGTCGATGTGTAAGTATGGTCTTAATTTTCGCCTCCTCCCGCAATAAAGAGGAATTCCGCTTCGTCACAAAAAAAAAAAAAAAAAAAAAAAAAAACCTTGAAGGAAAAAAAACCCTTTCAAACTGACATGGTTACGTATTTACATATGTACATATCGTTCAGAAAGGCTCCTTCTTTTCTCGGAGAGATCGAGAAGCCGAACACCTCCGCACAGCCTACTCAACCGTTGTAGGGCCCGGTCTTGCCATTCTTTTTTGAAGTTTTTTTTTTTTTTTTTGGTGCTTCGAATCCTTTCTGCTGCGTCTTCTGAAGACGTCCGTACCACTATTTTCATGCCCGTTACTTAAGTAATATCTATTTACAGTCTCTTCTAGGGGCTGATAGTACTATCTCCCCGACGCTCAGACTATTACTACCAGCTGAATTTCCCTTTATTTCGGGGACGATGTCCGACTCAAAAAGAATTCCTCGATTTCTGGCCGCAGATCTTGTAGAGCAACGGCCAGAAATGAAAAAATTGGCGAAAGTGGGACTTGCCCCCCGGGGCAACACAGGACCATGATAGTGACGAGAGGCAACAAGAGATACCATGCCCGCTCGTCACAATATACGACCTTTCTCTGTACATGAGTTGGAAAAGCAATCAATTAAAAAAGACAACCGCACCCGGGGCATCGCCCGCGCTTCCCTGGCAAAAAGCGCGTGCGTGCGCTACGTCACTAGATAGCCCCTGGCCGCCGCCGCACCTCCCGCACGCACCTGGGTCTCTCTCCGCCGCAAGACCCTGCATGCGTCTACGCGTAAGGTCCATACTCCATCACAGGCTCGCGACACACTAACCTCCCCGCCGCTTCTGCCCAAAATACGTCAATTGGCGGGAGAAGGATTCTATGGCTTCTACGTTGTGCACATCTGCACCCGGCGCGATGCGCGGTGATTAACCCCCTTCGCGCCATGTCATCGTACTGGTCAGGAAGCTCACGCAGGCAGCCAGGTGAGACGAGCACATCCTTCTTCGCCCGGACTCGAGGCATGGCCGACATGTCCCTGAAGCTGATGAAAGAAGTATTGGTCAATGCCATCCTGGACTCCGCCCTGTCGTTTTCCGCCAAACACATCCTGAAGTCACGGAAGAAAGTCCACGGTCCGTCCCCCACGCCGACGAAAACGATGGACAGGGGGTGCTTGCTTGCTCGCTCCAGCGCGCTCGCGGTCGCCCGCATATCGTTGCGCCGGCCGCACGTGATAATCACCAAGAGATGGAAACCGTCCTTCTCGGCAACTTCGATGGCTGCCTCGATCGGTGCAACGTACGAAGACGAAGCTCCAAGCCGAACATGAGGTGCGATCTGCTTGTACCGCCGCAGCCCCGCGCGCATCTCGTATCGCAAGTGCTCGTTCGCGGTACCGAGACTGAAAACATCCCTATCAGCAGCGCCAAACCCCAAGAAAACAGGACGTCCCGCCTTGCCGCCGCAAAGATTGGACATGGCGTGTCCTACTATGGCGGCAGAGAACATGTACTGATTGGGAAACCCCTTACTAACGTCGTGAAGACAGTCGCCGCCGAAAGACGATGCCCCACCCGTCAGGTTATCCATAGCGAAGTCAAATGCAATGATCAGATTGTCGCCGGTTATCCCCAAGGAGGACAATTTGCCAATCGCGTTGCCGTTCGCCATACTAGCCGACTGTGACTCTCTCTCTCTCTCTCTCTCTCTCTCTCTCTCTCTCTCTCTCTCTCTCTCTCTCTCTCTGTCTGCCTGTGTTGTCGTTTGTTTCTGTAGGCGTGTCCGTGTTCGCGCGTCGCTATGGAGTTGCTGTTTGCGCGGTCGCTTGCCCGCGCTTCTTGACACCTCTGGACTTGTCAGTTTTCCACCCTCCCGGCTGTCTACAAGCTTCGACGGTCGGTCGCTGCTTCACGTCACTCAAGCGGGTGCCTTGTATCGTTGCCGGCAAAAAGTGCAGCTTGAGCCGTCGCCGCCGCTGCGACCAATAGTACTCTACTCCTGAGGCGTACTGATGCCTTTCTCCGTTTTGTCAATGACTGTTTTCCACCGAGTTCTGTTTCCTTTTATAACTGCGGAGAGGGACGTCCACTGTGTTTGTTTCGCTAACCCTGTCATCGTGTCGTGCGGACGGGCAGAGGGCGACGTTGACGGTGGGGAAAAGGAAGCTTCCACTTGGCTTCCTCTCGAGTATTTTTTAACTAGGCCAGGTGCGGCCGTGCGGAGCTTGTTCCAACACTGGGGATCTAGGCTGCTCCCGGGTTCCCCCTATGACGATAATTAGGAGTAGTGGTGGGTAGTGTGAGGTGAAGGTGAGGGCATACTCACACGGGGACCTAAGTCACAATTATCCGAGACGTTTGGTACCATCTATCTGCTCCTTTGGGTGCCCCTGTGGTCACACGCAAGCTCTGTGTCTACAAAGCACTCACCGCCTGGTTCTATACCACTTGAAAATACTTGAGTTCCAAATGCGCCCTTGGGCGGCAGATGTGATTCATTTCCCCTGCTCGTTTTCTCGTTCCACATCGCATTGGGAAAATACTTGGAATTTCCGCAATTGTGACTGAAGTGCTGACATCGTGACTTTCCTATTCCCAGGGCCTCGGCGCACTACACAGCATTGCGTTTAGTTGCGACAGCTCTACACAGCGTTGCGTTTAGTTGCGACAGCTTTGCGACTCCTAAGAGTAGTGGATTGTGAAAAAATCCCAGCCGTCCTTGGATATGCGCGCGGAGATTGCAGCTTTGGAGCCCAAACCGGACGTTTTCATTGGCAAAAAGCATGTCAGCGCAGCACACGGCGAGGCCCGCGGCCTTTAGTTTACTATAGTCAAAAATGTGTCATAGCTAACTAAATGCCCTAATTCCTCTATGGTCGAATTTGCAGGCAGAAGGCTTTTCGTTTATTTGTGGCGGGTTCTTGTGTGTGGGCCGTTTTCTTGTGTGTCATAGCTTTGGAGCACTGACTTCCGGTAACACGTGAAGAGGCAGGGGTATTTACGCAACTCAACAGATGTAGCAATTCGAAGACCCGTCATGGTGGTTCATGGCCCTCCTGCTGTGCCGATGGGATGGCGTCAAAAGCCTCCCAGTCATAGGCAGACAAGTTTTTCCCGCCTGCCGTGGTGTCGCTCAGTATTATTTTCTGCTACTAAACTTTGCATGTGGGCCGAGGCCCCCGGCCAGCGGTTGTGGCGGACAAAATGTAGTCCAGGGCGGTTTGAGCCCATGGGACAAGGTGGACAAGGTTTCTGCACGAGGCTACCCGTTCCTCTGCGTCCCCAGTCCGTAAGAGAGAATGCGGCGAAGCTTTTGGAATCCAAATTCGGTCGGATACTCTGTGGGCGCCGCCACCGCAAAACACATAACTGTGCCTCGAGATATCCTCAATCACAGTTGTGGGTGTAGTGTGCAAGCATTTTTCTTGTGAGAGAAGCGAGGAGTGCCATCCTCTTGCGGTGGTCGAAGGTGCAACACGCGGCGCACGTATGGCGGAGGGCACGACTGTCGGTGTTCGTCAACAATGGAGCACAAGGGAGCCGAGGCAGGGGATGGCAGGGAACTGTCGATCCAGGAGAAGAGCTTGTTCGCGGCGTTATTGGTTGCAGTATGCCACCATCTTCAAACAGTGAACTGTGCGGCGTGGTTTTGGCAGACGGACAGCCAGGAGGGAGGCACCCATTGGCCAGGCATTGTTGGACGTGCAGTCCTCACCGGGTGTTAGGGATGCGCCGATCCTCCTCACGAATGCCATTTTCACAGGCGTGCTGCCGCCGAGGGAGACCCTGCGATGGTGGGTGAACCGCAGGACAGATGGCACATGGAAAGACCTCATCATCACCGGCGACGTGTGGGGTTCGACCTAATGCCCTGTGCTGTCTTCCGGTCGGAGTGGTAAAAATGTCTGGAGCAGGCCCTGAAAACAACAGCAAAACGGGTGTGCCAAGGAGATTATGGAACATTGAGTGTGGGGACACAGACGGAACTGAAATCGCCCGTGTGGTTCCAGTTTAGTGAGAAATGGCCTTTGCCGCGTGGTAAAGAAATAGCGCTCACTGCTTTCAAATGTTCGTTTAATCCAAAATGTATCTATGAACTTCCATGTGGGCTACTCAACGTCTTTTCCAACGGAAGGGCGGGGGTACGCACGTGGGATCTCGTTTTCGAATTAAGTCTCGCCGTTTGTTACAGAGGTCGGAATCTGACGTGGATTGCTTCCGCCTGGTCACTCTTTCCTTGTGTTCGGCCTCGCCACGTGTCCAGTAGTGGAACCCCCTTTCCCGATAAAGCTCCGTGCTCCCGCAATCGCTACACAAAGTATTGGGCCAATGAGGTGCCACCGATGTCCACAGGATGGCAATCAATTCATTAAAAGGCAATAAAAATGAGTCCGGGGGAAAGTGAGTATCACTAATGAAAAAAACAGCACCTACGAATCCTGAGCACTTCGTTTCGGGGGGAAAGTAGTAGCGCCCGCCAATCTTGGCGACGACTTCTCTCACGTCCCACTCGCATATACGTGTCCATTCGTCGTTATACGAGAACGGGCGTAGTGGGGATACGGGAAGTAGACGCCTGCTGTACCCCCGTTCACCATTCACGGCGTCGGTGAACGAGGGCCGGCCACCGGTCACGAAAAACGGGACCGGTTGTGGTTCACGAAGTTCACGCAGAGCGGGAACTCCGTTTTTTTTTTTTTTTTTGGCTGGTGATGCTGTCTTTTTTTTCGGCACGTCTGTAGAGCTTGGTAACGGGCATCTGCCCAAATGTTTTTTTTTTTTTACGATCAAAATGTATTTTTTTTTAATTTAAAAAATATATAATATTTGGTGGGTGGGCACGGCATTTGTCCTTGCAGGGCATTTTGAGGGTGTTTTGGCGGTTGAAATAAGGTTTTTTTTTTTTTTTTTTTTTTT